AAAAATAGGTCAACACCCTGACATCTAATAGTAAAACTTACGAGTCTCAGAGACAAAGAGAAAATCCTGAGGGAGCTCAGGAGAGGAGATATGTAACCTACAATGGTAGAAACATTAGATTGGCAACAGACCTATCCACAGAGACCTGGAGGCCAGAAAGGATTGGCACGATAGATTCAGTCCACTAAATGAGAAAAATATGCAGCCAAGAATACTATATCCAGTTGGCTGTCATTGAAAATACAAGGAGAGATAAAAACCTTCCAGGACAAACAAAAACTAAAGGAATTTGCAAACACAAAACCAGGCCCACCGGATATATTGAAAGGGGTCCTCTAAGCAAAGAGAGAGCCTAAAAGCAACATAGACCAGAAAGGAACACAGACAATATACAGTAACAGTCACTTTACAGGCAATACAATGGCACTAAATTCATATCTTTCAATAGTTACCCTCAATGTAAATGGGCTAAATGCCCCAATCAAAAGACACAGGCTATTAGGTTGGATAAAGAAACAAGATCCATCGATATGCTGTCTGCAAGAGACTCATTTTAGACCCGAAGACACCTCCAGATTGAATGTAAGGGGGTAGAAAACCATTTACCATGCAAATGGACACCAAAATCCTTATATCAAACAAGTTAGATTTTAACCCAAAGACTATACTAAGAGGAAGGACACTATATCATATTTAAAGGGTCTATCCAGTAAGAACATCTAACAGTTGTAAATATCTATGCCCCTAACATGTGAGCAGCCAATTATATAAGCCAGTTAATAACAAAAGCAAAGAAACACATTGACAACAATACAATAATAGCAGAGGACTTTAACACCCCCCTCATGGAAATGGACAGATCATCTAAGCAAAAGATCAACAAGGAAATAAAGACTTTAAATGACACACTGGACCAAATGGACTTCACAGATATATTCAGAACATTCCATCCCAAAGCAACGGAATACACATTCTCCTCTAGTGCCCATGGAACCTTCTCCAGAATAGATGACATCCTAGGTCACAAATAAGGTCTCAAACAGTACCAAAAGATTGGAATCATTCCCAGCATATTTTCAGACCACAATGCTTTGAAACTAGAACTCAATCACAACAGAAAAGTCAGAAAGAACTCAAATACAAGGAGGCTAAAGAGCATCCTACTAAAGAATGAATAGGTCAACCAGGAAATTAAAGAAAAATTTAAAAAATTCATGAAACAAATGAAAATGAAAACACAACTGTTCAAAATCTTTGGGATGCAGCAAAAGCAGTCCTAAGAGGAAAGTATATAGCAATACAAGCCTTTCTCAAGAAACAAGAAAGGTCTCAAATACACAACCTAACCCTAAACCAAAAGGAGCTGGAGAAAGAACAGCAAATAAAGCCTAAACCCAGCAAGAGAAGAGAAATAATGAAGATCAGAGCAGAAATCAATGAAATAGAAACCAAAAGAACAGTAGAACAGATCAATGAGACTAGAAACTGGTTCTTTGAAAGAATTAATACAATTGATAAACCCCTGGCCAGAATGATCAAAAAGAGAAGAGAAATGACCCAAATCAACAAAATCATGAATGAAAGAGGAGAGATCACAACCAACACCAAAGAAATACAAACAATTATAAGAACATATTATGAGCAACCCTATGCCAGCAAATTAGATAATCTGGAAGAAATGGATGCATACCTAGAGATGTATAAACTACCAAAACTGAACCAGGAAGAAACAGAAAACCTGAACAGACCTATAACCACTAAGGAAATTGAAGCAGTCATCAAAAATCTCCCAACAAACAAGAGCGCAGGGCCAGATGGCTTCCCAGGGGAATTCTACCAAACATTTCAAGAAGAATTAATACCTATTCTTCTGAAAATGTTCCAAAAAATAGAAACGGAAGGAAAACTTCCAAACTCATTTTATGAGGCCACCATTACCTTGATCCCCAAACCAGACAAAGACCCCATCAAAAAGGAGAATTACAGACCAATATCCCTGATGAACATGGATGCAAAAATTCTCACCAAAATACTAGCCAGTAGGATCCAACAGTACATTAAAAGGATTATTCACCTCGACCAAGTGGGATTTGTCCCTGGGCTGCAAGTTTGGTTCAACATCCGCAAATTAATCAATGTGATACAATACATTAATAAAAGAAAGAACAAGAACCATATGATTCTCTCACTAGATGCAGAAAAAGCGTTTGACAAAGTACAGCAACTTTCTTGATCAAAACTCTTCAGAGTATGGGGATAGAGGGTACATACCTCAATATCATAAAAGCCATTGATGAAAAACCTACAGCAAATATCATTCTCAATGGGGAAAACTGAGAGCTTTCCCCCTAAGGTCAGGAACACGGCAGGGATGTCCACTGTCACCACTGCTATTCAACATAGTACTAGAAGTCCTAGCCACAGTAATGAGACAACAAAAAGAAATGCATCCAAATCGGCAAAGAAGAAGTCAAACTCTCACTCTTTGCAGATGATATGATACTTTATGTGGAAAACCCAAAAGACTCCACCCCAAAACTGTTAGAACTCATACAGGAATTCAGTAAAATGGCAGGATATAAAATCAATGCACAGAAATCAGTGGCATTCCTATACACCAACAACAAGACAGAAGAAAGAGAAGTTAAGGAGTCGATCCCATTTACAGTTGCACCCCAAACCATAAGATACCTAGGAATAAATCTAACCAAAGAGGCAAAGAATCTGTACTCAGAAAATTATAAAATAGTCATGAAAGAAACTGAGGAAGACACAAAGAAATGGAGAAACGTTCCATGCTCATAGATTGGAAGAACAAAAATTCTGAAAATGTCAATGCTACCTAGAGCAATCTACACATTTAATGCAATCCCTATCAAAATACCATCCACTTTTTTCAAAGAAATGGAACATATAATCCTAAAACTTGTATGGAACCAGAAAAGACCCCGAATAGCCAGAGGAATGTTGAAAAAGAAAAGCAAAGCTGGCGGCATCTCAATTCCGGACTTCAAGCTCTATTACAAAGCTGTCATCATCAAGACAGTATGGTGCTGTTCCTAAAACAGACACATAGATCAATGGAACAGAATAGAGAACCCAGAAATGGACCCTCAACTCTATGGTCAACTCACCTTCGACAAAGCAGGAAAGAATGTCCAGTGGAAAAAAGACAGTCTCTTCAACAAATGGGGTTGGAAAAATTGGACAGCCACATGCAGAAGAATGAAACTGGACATTTCCTTGCACCACACACAAAAATAGACTCCAAATGGTTGAAAGACCTCAATGTGAGATAGGAATCCATCAAAATCCTAAAAGAGAACACACTCTGCAACCTCTTCAACCTCAGCCACAGCAACTTCCTCCTAGAAACATCACCAAAAGCAAGGGAAGCAAGGGCAAAAATGAACTATTGGGACTTCAGCAAGATAAAAAGCTTTTGCACAGCACAAGAAACAGTCAACAAAACCAAAAGACAAGCGACAGAATGGGAGAAGATATTTGCAAATGACATATCAGATAAAGGGCTAGTATCCAAAATCTATAAAGAACTTATCAAACTCAACACCCAAAGAACAAATGATCCATCAAGAAATAGGCAGAAGACATGAACAGACATTTTTCCAAAGAAGACATCCAAATGGCCAATAGACACATGAGAAAGTGTTCAACATTGCTCGGCAAAAGGGAAATCCAAATGAAAACCTCAATGCAATACCACCTCACATGAGTCAGAATGGTTAAAATTAACAAGTTAGGAAATGACAGATATTGGCAGCGATGCAGAGAAAGGGGAACCCTCCTACACTGTTGGTGGGAATGCAAGCTGGTGCAGCCACTCTGGAAAACAGTATGGAGGTTCCTCAAAAAGTTGAAAATAGAGCTACCATATGACCCAGCAAATGCACTACTGGGTATTTACCCCAAAGATACAAATGTAGTGATCCGAAGGGGTATGTGCACCCCAATGTTTATAGCAGCAATGTCCACAATAGCCAAATTGTGGAAAGAGCCAAGATGTCCATCGACAGATGAATGGCTAAAGAAGATGTGGTATATATATACAATGGAATATTATGCAGCCATCAAAAGGAATGAGATCTTGCTATTTGCAATGACGTGGATGGAACTGGAGGGTATTATGCTGAGTGAAATAAGTCAATCAGAGAAAGACATGTATCATATGATCTCACTGATATGAGTATTCTTAATCTCAGGAAACAAACTGAGGGTTGCTGGAGTGGTGGGCGGTTGGAGGGATGGGGTGGCTGGGTGATAGGCACTGGGGAGTGTATGTGCTATGGTGAGCACTGTGAATTGTACAAGACTGTTGAATCACAGACCTCTACCTGTGAAACAAATAATATATGTTAAAAAAAAAAAAAGAAGAAGAAGATAGCAGGAAGAGGAAAATGAAGGGGGGGAAATCGGATGGGGAGATGAACCATGAGAGACTATGGACTCTGAGAAACAAACTGAGGGTTCTGGAGGGGTGGGGGGTGGGGGGGATGGGTTAGCCTGGTGAGGGTATTAAAGAGGTCACGTACTGAAATGAGCACTGTGTGTTACACGCAAACAATGAATCATGGATCACTACATCAAAAACTAATGATGTAATGTATGATGATTAATATAAAAAATCTAATGATGAATATATGGTGATTAACATAACAATAAAATTTAAAAAAAAATTAAAAAGAGTGAAAAACACAAAAAAATAAAATAAAACTTTAGGTGAAATAGGAAGTTAAAATGTTAAATTTAAACGCAAATGTAGTCATGTTTAAGACTTTATAAAACAAATGTGATATCTCTACCAGAAGAAGAATTCAGTACATCATTGTATAAGTACATCCTAAGTGATATAAAATGATCAATTGTTCACCATGAAAAATGAGAAAAAGACAAGCAAAATATACCTGGCAGAACAGTTATCTTGACATTTTTCCATTAAACATATAAAACTTTTCCAGTCTATTAAAGTAATATTAAATTACCTGAAGGAATCATGCCCTGCGAAGCCAGGCCCAATGTTATAATGCACATTAAGACTTCCCTTCCAGCTTTCATCTGGTGGAGCAGTTCCTCCCATGTGACTGTTGAGAGAAAATGAAAATGACAGAAAAAGGCTGAGAATCACAATTTCTTAGAAGAAATCATGAAGTCTGATAATGAGATATTTCATTCATACATTTAACAAATATTTATTGAGCCCAGTACTGTCAATATGCCCTTTCTTTGTGCAACTTACATTTTAGCAAGAGAGCCAAACTTGAAATATATGAAGTACTTACTATGTTTGTGGAAAGAGGGCTTAGGAAAAAAAAAAAAAAATAGGGAGAGGAAATGAGAAGCATCAGCCTCCTTACTTTTGACTTTATGTAGGGAAGCATTAGATCTAAGAAATAGTGAAAATAGCAAACTCATGACTGTGTTAAGGAGAAGAAACTAATTTCTAGAGAAGCTGCTGGTTACCTAGTGGGCACTCATAAAACAATTATTAAATTGTATTGGTACAGACATCTAAAAAAAATAAAAGTGGGAGATTTATGAAAGAACATCAATAATAGAATGCAAGAATAGCAAACATTAATTAAATGTTTACTATATTCTAGATACTTTACACACTTGCATTGATCTCATCTCCTCCTCATAATAACCTTACTAGGGAGAAAAAATTACTATCCTCATTTCACAGATAAGGAAACTGAATCAGAGAAAGATTAAGTAATTGGTCCAAGTTCACACATCTAATAAGTGGTGGGCACTGTAATATTTTTAAAATACAGGTCAAGTACAAACATCAAATGAATATCAAAGAAAATCCAACTATTTGAAAAATCTCCAATCAGCATTTTTATCTTGGACACAGTTTTGCACTTGAGACTTTCATTTGTAGCAGACTAAAGGTTTCTTGCCATTTCTTGGTGTACTCTGTTATTCCTACTTCAGGAACTATTTTGAAATAAGACTTTTTTAAAAACTCATTTTCCTACTTTGTTTCCTTATTTTTTTTTTAAATTTTTTGAGGTGTAAGTGACCTATAACACTGGTTTCAGGTATACAACCAGACTTTATCCTAACGTAATTAGATTACATTGGTTTTAGACAAGAAAATGGACACATTAGTGTAAAATATCTTAAATCTCATATCCAATTAGAAAATCATACCGTAGTAATATTTCTGCATCATTATACCCAATAGGATGTACAGGGATCTTGGGGATTCCCACTCCTTCTTTGACATCAAGTCTAAAGGTGTACTCTGCAGAAATTAATTGCATAAAATGAAAACAGCTGAAAAATCTGAGCAAGGGGCATAAAGAAATTTCTTTTATTACTATCTCAGATCTATTACACGTTTGAAATTATATCAAAATTCAAAGTTCCCCCAAAACCAATGATTGTTTTACCTAATATAGCCTATTTAATTCAACAGTAAGAAATTAAATCATTCAAATTTTAATAAAATCTATGGGGATTATAAATTTCCAAATTTGTTTTGACATTTCATGTAATTCTCCTAAATTTTACAAGAATATTTTATTTCCTCAAGGAGATCTTGAATCCTTCTTAGGGAAGCTTCAGTTAACTAGTTGCCTGGAAAATGTGTCCCAAATTCTGAAACTAGATATATAACTGAAAAAAAATTAAAGGGAATTTATGAGACCTTGGGAATAATAAAGATCTTATTCAAATAGTAATACAATATTCTCTTTAAAGGAAGACTAAAAGTACTGTCAGAATTAAAACCTCATTGGGACTTTGGCTTTCAGCCAAAATAGTTGTATAAGCACTAAAACACCTATCTTAGAAACAAAGGAAGATTTCGATCAAATGACATCAGATTCCACCTCAAGAAAATAGGAAAGTATAAATAAGGCAAAAATAAACAGGGAAAGAATATTATAAAAGTCAGAGCAGAAATGCAAGAAATAGGAGACAGAAAAATGGTAGCAATTATGAATAAAATCCAAAGCTGGTTTTTTGAGATCAATAAAACTGATAAATCTCTAGCAAGACAATTCAGGAAAAAAAGAAAAAAAGAAAAAGAAAAAAAGAGAGAGAGAGAGAAACTGCCATGATCAGGAATAAAGAACAGAGTATCACTCTAGTACCCTGCACATGCACACACGGACACACACACGCATACAGAATGAGAATATTATGAACAACTCTATTAAATCTAACTTAGAGAAAATGGACAAAATCTGTGGAAGACATAAACTACCAAAGCTCAATCAACAGTAAATGGACAACCTAAATAGCCACATACCTATTTTAAAAATTGAATTTGTAGTTAAAAACATGCCTACAAACAAAACTTCAGGCCCAGATTTGCTAGGGAATTCTACCAAATGTTTATAGGCAAAAATGACTCATTCTATGTAAACTCTTACAAAACAACAAAGATAAAATAGTTCCCAACTTACCCCATAAGGCCAACATTACTCTGATACCAAAATGAGAACAAAATACTACAAGAAAATAAATCTGTAGGCCAATATCCCTCATGACTAAAAAGAGATATGCTTAACAAAATTTTAAATTCAGTGATATACCAACAACATATAAAAGGATAACGTATTGTGACTAAGAGTTTATCCTAGGATGGGAGGGTTGGTTTAACATTCAAAATTCTATTAGTATAATTTAACGAAAGTAATATAACAACTTATCATCTCAAGACTCAGTAAAAGCATTTGACAAAATTCATTATACATTCCTAGATAAATGTGCTAAGATAAAATCTCTTAGCCTATTAGAAGTAAACTCCCCCAGCTTGACAAAAAGAATCTAAAATAAAACCTACAGATGTATCATACTTAACAGAGAAAGACTGGATTTTTTCTTCTTGAGGCAGGAACAAGGTAAGGACATCTCCTCTAACACCTTTCTCCAGAAATGTATGAGAGGTACTAGCCAGTATACCAAGGCAAACACATTTTAAAAAGTAAAGGGCATCCAGATTGGAAAAAAAGAAAACCGTATTTACAGAAAACATGATCGTCTATGTAAAAACTGACGGTATCTATAGAAACCTACTAGAACTATTTAGTAAGTTTAACAAGCTTGCAGGATACAAGACTGACGTATTTCTTCTACAAAGTATTTCTACTTACTAGCATTGGACATATGGAAATTGAAATTTAAAATGTATTATTAAAAAGCATACAACTAGGAAATGCATATGGGTAAATGAGAAAGATGTGCACAAGCCATACAGTAAAACTGCAAACATGTGGAGTTAATTAAAGAATACCTAAGTAAATGGAGAGTTGTGCCATGTGTATGAATCAAAATATTCATTATTTTTTAAGATGTCAGTTCTCCCCAAATTGACCTATAGATTTAATTCAATCTCAAATTCCCAGGACACTTTTCAATGGAAATTAATAAGCTGGATCTAAAATTCACATGGAAAGGACCTAGAATAGCCCCAAAAACTTTGAAAAAAAAATGTTAATTTGGAGGATTTACATATCTATTCCAATGTAAAATTAAAAAGACTGACCAAACTAAAGGTAGTAAGGATATAGAATCTGGAACACTCATGCACTGCTGCTAGAATGTAAAATGGTACAAACACTTTGGAAAACAATTTGAAAATTTCTCCAAAAGTTAAATATGCATCTATCATATTATCCAGTTGTTCGATTACTATATATTTACCCAAGAGAAATAAAAGCATATGTACAAAGACTTGAATACAACTGTTCATAGCAGCTTTATGTATAAGAGTCCCCAAACTAAAAACGATCTGAATGTCCATCCAACTAAATGAATAAACAAACTGTAGTGTATCCATTCAATGAAATACTACTCAGCATAAAAAGGAATGAACCATTGACACAGACATCAACATGGATGGATCTCGAAATAATTATGCTGACTGAAAGCAGATCAGTGGTTTAGGGACTGGCAGAGAGTGGGCAGGAAGGGTTTGGAGGAAAGTATTATAAGAGAGGAGTGAAAACTTTTTGGGTAATGGATATGTTCATTATCTTAATTGTGGAGGCAGTTACACAGATGTTCAACATGTAAAATGTGAAAAGTTTTGACAACACCCAAAAACTCACTGATATGAAAAAAAATACAAACGTATGATATCTAGAGAAGGCTAAAATCACCAATCAATTCAGAAAACCAAAGTTCTAGTTTGGTAAAAGCAGTATTACTTAGGGTTTGGGGATCTATGTTTCTGCACCTCTGCTAAAAGTAGAGAAAAATTCAACGGGCCCTTCCCTCTCCATGTCCACACCTCATGAAAATTTGAAACGAAAGTAATATATGGGAAATGTTTTTTAATTCTTAGCAATAGTAATCCAAAATATTGTAATTGTATACAATTTTAAGGTTATCTTGTAGATGTTTGCTTTTATGTCTTCTGTAAGGGCAGGTAGTATTTTTGCAAAAATGGGTGAACCAGGACAGGCCCATCCATTACCTTTAGCTGGATAGCCTGGAGTGAGCGGGTCCCCAGCACCATTCAAATTTAATACATTCCCTCTCTGTGCTGCAGTTCCAGGAAGGTTCCATCCTTTAGGATATGGCTGTACTGCAGGGGCAAAGTAATCTGCTGGATCGGAGTACAAGATGATTCCTATGGCTCCTGCTAACATGGCATTTTTAACCTGCAGGGGCAATATGCAATCCATAATGTAGAACTGGCAGATGATTAATTCATCTAAGAGAAAATCAATTTAATAATGTAAGGAACTTGAGGGCGCCTGGGTGGCTCAGTTGGTTAAGCGACTGCCTTCGGCTCAGGTCATGATCCTGGAGTCCCTGGATCGAGTCCCGCATCGGGCTCCTTGCTCGGCAGGGAGTCTGCTTTGCCCTCTGACCCTATCCCCTCTCATGTGTTCTCTCTCATTCTCTCTCTCTCTCTCAAATAAATAAATAAAATCTTTAAATAAAATAAAATTAAAAAAAAATAATGTAAGGAACTTGAGACACTGCTTTTTATCATGCTGCTAGACATTCAGTTCTTTATGCCTTGAATACAATTTCTCTCCTGGGGGGAGCTAACAACTCTCATTTATTCTATACAACTCCAAACAAGTTATTGTCTCTTCTGTGAAACAGTCCTATTGTGGCTAGAACTGCAAAATTAATGTCTCCCTTCTTTCTACCTCTTCTAATTTGTACATATTTCTGTTATAGGATGGGTCATAGTATTTTAAAATATCTTTAAAATATCTTTCTCCCTTGCTAGACTGAGGGTGTTCTTAGAAAAGGGACCATGTCTTGTTTACTTTTAACTATCCACCCTCCAAAGTCTGGCACATCACAGAAATACCTGTGGAACTAAAATAATTTAAAGTTCTATACAGAGTGTGTGAAAAATTGCCTACTGTATTTTGTAAATATTTTCTAACAATCCAAATTGACCACATAGGAAAATCTTTCCTGCAAGATTCTTAATTCATTACCAGAAATACTGTAGCAAAAGATAGCTTACAATAAGTCTTGATTAACTAAAACACACTGCAATATTCAGAAAGCATTCTTACAGTATGAATGGGAGTACAATCTGTCACAACTTTTTTTGAAGGGCAATTTGATGCCTGCCAAAATTTTGAAAGAATATACATGTTGACTCAGCCATTAAATTTCTAGGAATCCATACTATAAAAATCTTCACATAAATGTTCAAGTATATGGACTAAGATGTTCACAATGGAATTATTTTTAATAGTAATAAATTCAAGCCAAGCATCTGTCAATGCAGGAATGGTTAAACTGCTTATCACTTCTACAAAGTATTATGTACCCATCAAAATAACAAGGTATTTATTTAATAAGCAGCTATATAGAATTAACTAAGTACCAGGCACTATCATAAGTGTTTTCAAACATAAAGTTATTTAATCTTCATAAGGATTCTAGGAGATTAATGCTATTATTAGCATTCTCACTTTATGTATGAGGAAACACTGGCAGAGAAAGATTAAATAACTTGCTCACAGTAAAAGATTGAGAGAACAGGGAGCCTAGACTAGACCAGAATCTATGTTGTAAGAATCTAGAGTCCTATACTCGTAACGACACATTATACAACTCTCAGTGTTTTGACATGGAGGAATACCTATATATTATTGCTGAGTGAGAAAATAAAGTTATATATAGTATATGATGCCATCTTCATAAAAAAGCTGTATAATATTTGTAAAATTAGTATCTAGAAAAAGATATTTATATTCATATGTCACAGAATTAGGTCCAAGAAAAGCTGGGAAGATTGATCATGTCCGGGCAAATAAAATGGGCAATGTAGGGGATCTTTCAGTTTTCAGTTTACAAAAAATTTCCCTCAAAAAATTTTAAAAAGCAAATTTTGTTTCTGTTATAAAAGTAATTTCCTTTTCTAGATAGGTGAGGTAAAATAAAAACAGGATTTCCTGTGCAACCGTGGCAAATAGGAAGATTTTTTAAATACATATATTGAGGTAATTCTGAAAAAAAAAGTGCAAGCTGATCATTTACATTTAGAGGATATACACTATCCTCTTCTCTCTAGAAAAGGAGGTGATACAATACTTTATTTCCTCTGAAGATTTTTCCGTATCTTGCAATAACAATCTTTCCACTACAGTTGATGTTCATCTCTCTTTCCAGTTTGAAAAAATCTTCAGTACGAGCATAGTTCACATACATAAGATCTCCCTGTAAGGAAAAGAAAAAACTTAAAAATACATAGAATACTGCTACAATTAAAGGGAAAACCAATGAGTAAGTTTGCTCCACAATACCACATCATCAAAAGTTATCTTTCCTGGATTGGGCTTGAAAAACAGATCCGTGCTAATTCTGTATGTTTTTGGAAAATATTTCAATACTTTGAAAGGTTGAAAAAAATGCCAATATGTAACACTTTAAACAGTGTGTTCTGTTTTGAAGAGATTATTGGCATATACTGAACCAGAGGAAATAGAGATCATTTAAAAAAATCCCAACTATGTTTTAAACAACCCACTGCACCAAAAATAATAAAATACCTAGGAATAAACTTAACCAAGGAGTTGAAAGAACCTGTACTCTGAAAACTATAAAATACTGATAAAAGAAATTGAAGAAGACACAAATAAATGGAAAGATACTCCATGCTCACAGATTGGAATATCATTTAATATCATTAAAATGTCCATACTACCAATGCAATCTACAGATTCCACGCAACCCCTATCAAAATACACAGCCTTTGTCACAGGACTATGAAAAATAATACTAAAATGTGTATGGAACCACAGAATACTTGAATTAGCCAAAGCAAGCATGAGAAAGAATAAAGCTGGCGGTATCACAATCCCAAATTTCAAGATAGATTACAAAGCTGTAGTAATCAAAACAGCATAGTACTGGCATGACGACAGACACATAGATCAATGGACCAGAATAAAGTCCAGAAGTAAACCCACACTTATACAATCAAATAATCTATGACAAAGGAGGTGAGAATATACAGTGAGGAAAAGACAGTGTCTTCAATAAATGGTACTAGGAAAACTGAACAGCTTTATGCAAAAGAATGAAACCAAGATACTTTCTTACACCATCCACAAAAATAAACATGGATTAAACCCCTAAATATGAGACCTGAAACCATAAACACCTAAAAGAAAACACAGGGGAGTAATTTCTTTGACATCAGCCTTAACAACATTTTTCTAGATATGTCTCCTTGGGCACAGGAAACAAAAGCAAAAATAAACTATTGGGACTAGAGCAAAATAAAAGCTTTTGCACAGCAAAGAAAACCATAAACCTAACTAAAGAGGGGAAAGATAGTTGTAAATGATATATCCAGTAAGGGGTTAATATCCAAACTATATAAAGACCTTATACAACCCAATACCAAAAAATACGTACATACATAATCAGATTAAAATGGGCAAAAGAGCACTTTTTCATGTGTCTGTTGGGCATTTGGATGTCTTCTTTGGAAAAAGGTCTGTTCATGTCTTCTACCCATTTCTTGATTGGATTATTCTTTGGGTGTTGAGTTTGGTAAGTTCTTTATAGATTTTGGATATTAGCCCTTTATCTGATATGTCATTTGCAAACATCTTCTCCCATTCTGTCCCTTGTCTTTTGGTTTTGTTGACTGTTTCTTTTGCTGTGCAAAAGCTTTTTATCTTGATGAAGTCCCAATAGTTTATTTTTTCCCTTGCTTCCCTTGACTTTGGCGATGTTTCTAGGAAGAAGTTGTTGTGGCTGAGGTCGAAGACGTTGCTGCCTGTGTTCTCCTTTAGGATGTTGATGGACTCCTGTCTCACACTGAGGTCTTTCAACCATTTGGAGTCTATTTTTGTGTGCGGTGTAAGGAAATGGTCCAGTTTCATTCTTCTGCATGTGGCTGTCCAATTTTCCCAACACCATTTGTTGAAGAGACTGTCTTTTTTCCACTGGACATTCTTTCCTGCTTTGTCGAAGATGAGTTGACCACAGAGTTGAGGGTCCATTTCTGGGCTCTCTATTCTGTTCCATTGATCTCAACATCATTCGGCATCAGGGAAATCCAAATCAAAACCTCAATGAGATACCACCTCACACCAGTCAGAATGGCTAAAATTAACAAGTCAGGAAATGACAGATGTTGGCAGGGATGCAGAGAAAGGGGAACCCTCCTACACTGTTGGTGGGAATGCAAGCTGGTGCAGCCACTCTGGAAAACAGTATGGAGGTTCCTCAAAAAGTTGAAAATAGAGCTACCATATGACCCAGCAATTGCACTACTGGGTATTTACCCCAAAGATACAAATGTAGGGATCCGAAGGGGCACGTGCATCTCAATGTTTATAGCAGCAATGTCCACAATAGCCAAACTATGGAAAGAGCCAAGATGTCCATCGACAGATGAATGGATAAAGAAGATGTGGTATATATATACAATTATGCCGCCATCAAAAGGAATGAAATCTTGCCATTTGCAACAACATGGATGGAACTGGAGGGTATTATGCTGAGTGAAATAAGTCAATCAGAGAACGACATGTATCATATGACCTCACTGATATGAGGAATTCTTAATCTCAGGAAACAAACTGAGGGTTGCTGGATTGGGGGGTGGAGTGGGAGGGATGGGGTGGCTGGGTGATAGACATTGGGGAGGGTATGTGCTATGGTGAGCACTGTGAATTGTGTAAGACTGTTGAATCACAGACCTGTACCTCTGAAACAAATAATACATTATATGTTAAAAAAAAAAAAAAAGATAGTAGGAAGGGAAAAATGAAGGGGGGGAGATTGGAGGGAGAGACAAACCATGAGAGACTATGGACTCTGAAAAACAAACCAAGGGTTCTAGAGGGGAGGGTGTTGGGAGGATGGGTTAGCCTGGTGATGGGTATTAAAGAGGGCACATACTGCATGGAGCACTGGGTGTTATACGCAAACAATGAATCATGGAACACTATATCAAAAACTAATGATGTAATATATGGTGATTAACATAACAAAATAAAATAAAATTTTAAAAAATGGGCAAAAGACCCAAATAGACAATTTTCCAAAGAACATATACAGATGGGCAACAGACACATGAAAACATTCTCAACATAACCAATCATCAGGGAAATGCAAATCAAAACCACAATGAGGTATCACTTCACATGGGTCAGAATGGCTAGCATCAAATAGACAAGAAATAACAGGTGTTGGCAAGGATGTAGAGAAAAAAAAAAATCCTTACATACTGTTGGTGGGAATATAAACTGGTGCAACCACTGTGGAAAACAGTATGGAAGTTCCTCAAAAAATTAAAAATAGAAATACCATATGATCCAGTAATTCTACTACTGGGCACTTACCCACAGAAAGCAAAAACACTAATTAAGAAAAATACAGGCACCCTTATATTTACTGCATCATTATTTACCCAAGTGTCCGTTGATGGATGAATGGATAAGGAAGTGGGGTGTGTGTGTGTGTGTGTGTGTGTACATACTCAGCCATAAAAAAAAAAAAAATGAGATCTTACTATTTGCAACAACATGGATAGACCTAAAGTGTATTATGCTAAGAGAAATAAGTCAGAGAAAGACAAATACCATATGATTTTACTTACATGCAGAATCTAAACAAAAATGAACAAACAGACTTTAAAATACAGATAACAAACGGAGGGTTGCCAGAGGGGAGAAAGGTGGGGAAGAGGTGAAACAAAGGAGATTTTTAAAAGAAAAAAGAAATCCCAACCATGTTTAATTTTCAAGCATAGTATTAAGTAATTAATTAATTAAATACCACTTCTGTGGCATGATCTATAAATCTATAACAAAAATCAGACTCTGAACAAAGGAAAAGAGCTTGTAAAGACATCTACTGATGTTGGGGCGCCTGAGTGGCTCAGTTGGTTAAGCGGCTGCCTTCAGCTCAGGTCATGATCCCAGGGTCCTGGGATCGAGCCCCGCATCGGGCTCCCTGCTCGGCGGAGAGCCTGCTTCTCCCTCTCCCTCTGTCTGCCACTCTGCCTACTTGTGCTCTCTCTCTATCTCTGTTAAATAAATAAATAAAAATCTTTATAAAAAAAAAAGACATCTACTGATGTTACTGAATTAAAGATGTGTTCAGCAGATTCTCTGTTATTTCAGAGTGGCATCTGCTTCACCAGGCTATGATTTTTACATATTTCTATTTTTTTCTTTTTCTTAAATTATTTTTAGAAAGGGTGTTCATCGCACTGAATCTCAAAGTATGGATCAGCATGTATGGTTTACCTAATCTCCTTGGTTTTAGTCCTTTATATAGGCTTTAAATAACAAAGGAAGGTTCAAAAAGTTGAGTAAAAAAGTCTTGTTTTACCTCTGGCATGCCTTGGGCTGAGAAAGCGTTATATGGTGGAACAATATTTGTAACATTCTCATATCCATCTGGTGGCGGCTCAAGGTAGGAGGTATTGAAAATCTAGGAAGAATTGACATACATAAATTGGAGAGTATTCCTGATTGTTATTAAAGAATAACGCCCCCAAGTATACACTTAAGATTAAGCATTCTGAAACTAGGTTCAGTAATTAATCAGGTAAATTCCACTGGCAACAATGAGGAAGAGCTTTATCATTCTTACTGCCTTCAAAATAGTAGCAACTTCTACAAATGCATGTAATCTGAGGTGACTAGAAGTTCCCATATAAAAACAGGGCTTTGAAGGTGGCACCCATGATTCTCCTCCTCCTTTTCCAATGATTCCTTTTCAACTTTCATTGTTGGACTCCTTTTCTTTCAAATGCATTTAAATGTTTCCTGTGTTTTATCCCCAGTCTATGGTCTGCCTCATTTTATACTCCCTTCCTGTCAGACTTCATTTACTCCCAAAATTTTATCCATAGCTCATATGCTTATAAGGCCACCTTTCCAGACATGTATATTTAAGGGCCTTATGGTTATTTCAGCTTGGATGTCCAAACTCAACATGTCCTACTTTGAATTTCTCATCCCTCACCCCAGGCCTGCTTCTTGTTTGGCATTCCTTGCTATTACTAGCAGCATCACTAGCCAGCCACCCATACCAGACACCTAGGAATCATCCTCAATTCTGTCTTCACCACCTTGCTCCAGTCAATCACTAATCAATTGCCACTAATATTGCTTCCTAACTATTTCTTAGATCATCCCTCTTCCTCATTCCTACTAACATCCTGATTCAGGGCTTCATCATCTTTTACCTGGACTATTCTTGTAAGACTCCAACTTGCACTCCTTGCCGAGTCAAGGTCTAACCTGTAGATGGCCCAAACTATCTAAAAAATGCCTCTCTAGCCACATCCTTCCATTGCTTAGGACTTGTCAGTAGTTTCCATTGACTGAAGTTGAATTCTAAGCCCCTTAGGACATATAAGCTGTTCTATGACCTGTCCCCAAAACATATATACTGGCTTATCTCTTTTTGTGGCCCACTTTGTACATGACATTTTTGAAACACAGAAAATGTTTAAGGTCCCCAATAATACTAAGATAGTTATGGGTCTCCAAACCTTTGCCAGTATTTTCTCTTCTACCTGGATTCTTTTACTTTGTTTTTTCACGTGGTTAACTCCTTAGCATTGCTCATGACTCACACATCAGAAAGGTTTTCTTTCAGGAAAGCTTCTCTAAGTCCCAGGCTAGACTAAGTGAACCTTTTCTGTATAAAGAACCCAAAACATACTCTTTATAACACTCACCATACTGATTTAAAATGACGTGTTCTAACACCTACCTTGCCTTACTTAAGGCAAAAAGAATCCTGTTCCTAAGCTTCATTCTGGCTTTAAGACTAAGCACTGTGCCTAACACACAGTAGACACTGAATAATTAGTTTACAACGTATCAACTTTTCTAAAAAATAGGAGTTGCACTGCACCATTAACCAATTTCTATTCTTACTTGACCCTACATCCCAATTCACATAAACAAGTGGGGTTATAAAATACAAAAAGTACCAACAATTCCACATCACCTCAATTCCATGTTCATCCATGATTGATATATAGTTGGCATTTGTCTCATTAGGGTAGGATAGGAGAACATCATAATGAACCAACTTGGCTGAATCCAGTCCAAATTTCTTCCACTGGGTTTGGATTTTCTTGGCAAGAAGTAAATTTTGTTCTGTTCCTGCCAGATGAGGGAGCTTTGTAAAAGAACTACAATGAAAGTAAGATACAAGTGGGAGTTAAAGACTATATTCAGACAATATGCCTAAGGACTATTCTAGATGCATCACTCATCCTTTAGGTATTATCATTTCTACATGAATGATAAAAAAAACAGCTAGTAGTACCAATTTCTAGGGATGCCAATTTAAAATTTATTCGTGTGTAACTATACTATTCACATTTTGCTCCCCCAGAAAAGAACATATACCATGGTAAAAACACATGCAATCAGCAGGTATGAGAAGACACCGTGGAAGAACGTCAGGCCTTTATGCCAATAGTGCTCCTTTTGGTGATCATTAGTAAGGGAGGATATTTGGGGCGGTGTGGGGGCAGTTCATAATGTTTGCCAGAGACTAGTTAGGCAGTCTAACGCATACTTCCACTGTTGTCAAGATTTATTCAGTTGTTTATTGATCTCATTGAAGTTAAAAGTCCATGCATTTTTATTTTTATATTGTCTACTGCTTAGTTCCTGCCTGTTGTGTAGAAATTATACAATGGGTTTGTTGACTTGAATTTGGGCAATGTTCTTTGGTTTGGAGTATAAATGGGTTGTAGCATTTAAGTGACCTCACAAAAATAGTTTTTCTAAAGATTCATTTTACATGAGGGAAAAAAAATATTTTAAAAATATTTTCTCACCTTTCTCCACCCCACCACCCCTTCAGATAATAATACTTTTGTAAATTGGTGTTTTTAGCCAACCATGACAAAACCAAAGCAAGACAGGCAGTAAAGGAAAACTGGCATTTGCCAAAACCTTACTATATGCCAGGCATGTGACCAGGCACTCTCACCTGGGTTGCCTCACTGAGTCTTCACCATCTTTCTCCCATTGTCCTCATTTTGCAAATAAGGAAACTGAGAGAATAGTTAAATAATTTGTTCATAATTTCAGCCATTAAATGATGGGACTAAAATATGAAAGTCATAGTTGTCTGACCTTGAGAAATAGTGATAATGTGAAATCATTCATCTGATATTATTCAATTGCCTGAACTTCTTGTAAGGCTCCCTATACTGTGCATTTTTATGAAGTTCACATTCAAACATGGCATATTGGGCCCTTTTTCATCTGACCCACCCTTCCATCTTTTCATTTTCATTTCCCATTACTCTCCATATAAAATTCTCCACCCTACGGCATTTGGTAGACTCCTTTTCCTCATGCAGTGACCACCTATAACCTTTGCACAAGGTCTTTGAGATGTAAATACTGTCCCATCTACATGTGTCTCCCTGTCACCACTTCTTTCATTCTCCTTTCCCACCTGCAAGCTACTCATCATCCATGAGGACTCCTCCAGCATCTTCTCCTGTGAAGCTTTCCCTTTCTATATCATTAAATTAAATCTACAGGTTATGGATATTTAATATCTTAGAATATTTGTTTTAAAAAAGTATTATAGTGTTTCTAGACAGAAGTTATTTTGTATGCATTAAAAAACAGTAGGGCTTGGGATATTTAATTTCTACTTTATATAATTATTGTTTTATTTTCTACAATGAACAGATAACATTCTTATAATTAAGGAAAAAAAAATATTTCCTTAAATTAAGATGGAGGATTAACCATGAGCTTTTGTCATCCATCTTTTAAAGAAGCCACTGAAGGGTGCTTGGGTGCCTCAATCCATTAGGCATCCAGCTTTTGATTTGGGTTCAGGTCATGATTTCAGGATTGTGAGATTGAGCCCCATGTCAGGCTCCCTGTTGGTCATTGAGCCTGCTTAAGATTCTCTTTCTCCTTTTTCCTCTGCCCCTCCTCCCAACCCACGTACACACACGTGTGCGTGCGCTCTCTTTCTAAAAAAATAAAGAACCCACTGAAATGGAATACAGAAGCAAAAAAAAAAAAAAAAAGCAGCAGTGTGTAACATCCTTTAGTTCATTTCTAAATTTCTCCTTCTGGTCCCAAGGTGGGTACAGTTCCAGGCATCATATATTCACACTGTAATGCTCAGAAGAAACAAGTACAAACAAGAACATGTTTCCTCTTCAGTATTTCTTTTAACAGAGGAAAACTTACAGTAGAAGATCACAGCTACACTTTCCTTTCATTTCATTGGACATAATAGAGTATATACCTCTTTTTAAATGAATCATTGCCAGAGGGAAGAGTTATAATGAATGGATTATGGACCAATCAAGATACTCCTGGGCTGGAAGGAATGTAACCCTTACTGAATACATGAAGGAGGATGAACACTGAAGAGTTGAGGCACTACCAACAAGAAAGTGGCTGGGGAGAAATCAAATTCTTCCCACTACATTAGAACCATTAACCCAATCTTGAACTCCTCTCCCTCCGAGGCTCTTTCACTGATCATAAACCTTCTACATCTATGATCAACAATTCTTTAATCCTCAGCCACTTCTCCAAATGCTTGCATGACTTCCTTGCCTTAACTGGTTTCCTCAGAGGATCCTGCTCACCTGCAAGCTTTTTTATTTCCCATGCCCCCACATATCCTCAAGGCTTGAAGATCTACTGGGAGTTCTTATTCTCCCTTGGTTCTTTCAAATATTTTTCCTTTTTCTTCTTTCAAAAATAACAACTCTTTTAAAGCTCATACCAAAAGTCACCACCTTCTGGGGGCTGTCAAAATTGTGGGTCACTCCTCAGTCATTAAAGTCTCAAGTTTCTAATTCAATTTATTTCACTCTACTTCTATTCTTGTCATTCTTGATGTGCAATTTTTTTTTTAAGATTTTATTTATTTGACAGAGACAGGGTGAGCACAAGCAGGGGGAGTGGCAGGCAGAGAGAGAGAGAGAGAGAAGCAGGCTCCCCACTGAGCAGGGAGCCCGATGCAGGGCTTGATCCCAGGACCCTGGGATCACGACAGCTCAAGGCCTACACTTAACTGACTGAGCCACCCAGGCACCCCTGAACACAATTTCTGTATTGCACTCCAAAAATATAATCATCATATAAACTATTTGTACATAACTTATCACCTTATGTTATATACACATTAAAGGAAAATAGTGATAAACAAATTTTAATGGTCAAGAACATTATTAAGTTTTGCTTCTGACATCTAATTTTCTAGGTGACTTCTTTTGGACACTTCATGATGTGCTGCAGACAGAATTCAATAGTGTTAACATTATACTTGGTCTTTTAACTTACACAATTTAAAATATAAGCATTCTATCTTAACAAGATATTCTGCCATTTTACTGTATCGCAGGAAAAATAAAGACTGAGTCTCTCTTTAAATGACATGCATCTTAGCTGCCTGATTATTTTCCTTTATCTCTAAACAAGCACCTCAAAACAGACATCTTGTATTTGCTTCCTAATATCTAATGTTATAAATCAGCTCAATTTCACAAGAACAGTATAGCTGTTTTCATACCTCATTACTATAGTTTGCTATAGTTCATCCATGGAAACTAAGATGGAACTTCATGACCTCATTATATCACAGGATAGATGGGAGGGAAACACACCATACTGTATTCACTTTGTTTATTTGATTCTAGGGTTTAAGTGGAGTCTCAGAAGGGGTAAAGAGAATGCTGCAGAAAATTTTAAGAAATAATGAACAAAACCTTCCTAAATTAGTGAAAGACATAAGTTTACAAAGTCAAGAATCTCAGAGAGCCATAAACAGAATAAATTTGAGGAAAACGATACCTAGGCACATAGTAAAACTACTCAAAATTAAAGATAAAATGACATGTTCTGTAACTTAAAGGACTGTAAACTTCTCATCAGATGCCAATACTAGACAGAAGACAATGAAAAAACATTTAAAGTTCTGAAAGGAGAAGAAAACAAAGTCATCTTAGAAGTCTATAACCAGGAAAAGTATGCTTCAAGAATTATAATAAAGTAAGGATTTTATAGAGAGAGAAAAACTAAGAGTATTTGTCACAACCAGACCCCACATTACAGGAAATGCTTAAGAAAGTTACTCAGACTAAATAGAAATACCATGGGATAACCCAAATTTTCAGAAACAAATGAATAACATTGGAAATAAGATATAAAATACTATTTTAACTCTTAATGGGCTTTCAATACATATGTGTTCAAAGAAAAATTGTTTTGCAAGGTTTATATTGCATTGCATATGATACTTTTGACAGCTCTAGTATCAAGGATGACAGAGGAGAGGATAAATGGCAATATAGAAATGTGAGTTATCTGTATTGTATGTTAAGTTGCAAAAAAATAACTAAGAATTGAGTGAAGATTTATAAGTTATAGATGTATGGTGTAATCACTAGAGCATCTACTAAAAAAAAAAATTACAAGGATGTAAAAAAAAAAGATAAACAGAAATGAAATAAAATTTTACCAAAAAAGGCGCAAAAAATGAGAACAAACAAAAATAAACAGAGTAAACAGAAAACAATAAATTAGTAGACTTAAGTTTAACTATATCAATAGTTACATTATTTGTTAATGGACTAAATATTCAAATTAAAAGGCATAGATTACCTGAAGGAATATAATAGCAAACTGCTACTATCTGCTATTTACAAGGGATACACTTTAAGATTACCAAAATTTATTGAATACCACGTGGCAATTAAATGCTCTCTATTGAAGGTACATTTTAATTCTAAAAAAAATAATAGATTAAAAGTAGATGAAGGGGCGCCTGGGTGGCTCAGTCATTAAGCGTCTGCCTTCAGCTTGGGTCATGATCCCAGGGTCCTGGGATAGAGCCCCACATCGGGCTCCCTGCTCAGCGGGAAGCCTGCTTCTCCCTCTCCCACTCCCCTTGTTTGTGTTCCCTCTCTCGCTGTCTCTTTCTCTCTCTCTGTCAAATAAATAAAATATTTAAAAAAAATTTTTAAAAAGTAGATGGAAGAAGATATGCCATGTAAATGTAAGTGTAAGGAAACTGATGTGGCAATATTTATACCAAATAAAATAGACTCAAAGATAGAGATTACAGAAGATAAAGAAGGACGTTTCATAAAGATAACAGGGTAGTCTGTCTTAAAGACTTAACAACATTAACATGTATATGCCTAATCAATAGTCTTAATATATAAAGCAAAAATTTACATAATTAATGGGGGAAAATATACATTTTCACATTCCTGGAGATTGTGACCCCCTTCTTGATATAATTTGACCCCCATGTCCCCAAAATCAGTAAAGGAATCACTAGATTCCTAACCAGATAAAGAAAAAAAAAATCATGATCATAGAAATTGATGCAGAAAAATAACCTTTTGACAATATCAATATCCATTCATGATAAAAAAAAAAAACTATTAGCAATCTTGGAATAGAGGGGAGTTTCCTTAACTTGATAAAGAGCATCTACAACAAATCTTTAATTTTTTTTTAAGATTTTTATTTATTTGAGAGAGAGAGAGAACATGAGTGGGGAGAGGGGAAGAGGGAGGGAGAGAAAGAGAGGGAGAATCCCATGCAGATTCCCTGCTGAGCGCGGAGCCCCATTGCACTTGGGCTCAACCCCAGGACCCCAAGATCATGACCTGAGCCAAAATCAAGAGTCGGATGCTCAATCAACTGAGCTACATAGGCGCCCCTACAACAAATCTATAGACAGTATCACACTTAATTATGAAATTCTGAATGCTTTCCCCCTAAGGTTAGAAACAACAACAAAAGATGTTCGCTCTCACTCCTATTCAACATACTACTGGAATTTCAGTCAGCACAATAAGAACAAAACAAAAACCAAACAGACAAACAAAAACCCCAAATGTAAAACACATACAGTTTGGAAAGGTAGAAATAAAAGTGTCCCTATTTGAATATGGCATGATTGTTTACATAGAAAATCCCAATGAATCTACCAAAAACTCCTAGAGACATGAGTTTAGACAGGCCACAGGATACAAGATCAACACAAAAATCAACAGTATTTCTATATATTAACAACAAACATGTGGAAACTGAAATTAAACACAATATGACTTACAATTGCTCCAAAGAAAATGAAATACTTGGATATAAATCGAACAGTACATATCCAGGATCTGCATCTTAAAAATTACAAAATGTTATAAAAGCAAACAAAGAAGATCTAAATAATTGGAGAGGCTATGTTTATGGATTAGAAGACTGGATATAGGAAAAATGTCAAGTACCCCGAATTGTTCTATAAGATTAGTGTGATTACTATCAAAATCCCAGCATAGACATAAGTATGTTTACTCTATATTTTATATGAAAAGGAAAAGGATATGGAATAGCTAAAACAATTGTTTAGAAAAATAAGATGGGAGGAATCACTCTACACATTGCTGAGGCTTACTAAATAGCTTCTGTAATCAAGACCATGTGGGACTGGCAGAGAGTAGACTCACAGATTAATAGAGCAGAATAGAGAACCCAGAAACAGACTCACACAAATATGACCAACTGATCTTTGACAAAGGTGAAAAGCAATTAAATGGAAGAATGACCTTTCAACAAATGGTGCCAGAGCAATGGGACATCCATAGGCAAAATAATGTACTCCAGCCAAACATTATGTCTTATGCAAAAATTAATCACAAAATTAATGTAAAATATAAAGTATAAAATTTCGGGATGGAGGGAAGAGAGGAGAAAAGAGATCTAGTCTAAGAGTTCTTAGATATGAACCCAAATGCATGATCCATAAAAGGAAAAAGCAATAAATTGGACCTCATTAAAATTTAAAACTTCTACTCTACAAATAACTCTGTTAAGACATGAAGAGACAAATAACAAAGAGGGAAAAATATATGAATACCACAAAGCCGACAAAAGACTTATCTAGAAAATATAAAGAACTCTCAAAGCTCAATAGCAAAAAAACAAAAGACAAACAAAACTATCCAAATAGAAAATAGGTCAAAGACATGAACAGACATTTCACTGAAGAGAGTACAAATGATGAATAAGCACATAAAAAGATGTTCAATATCATTAATCATTAGGGGACTGCAGTTTAAAAATCACAATGAGGTATCACTATGCACCTATCAGAATGGGTAAAATTAGAAATAATGATAATATCAATGGAAAACATTAAATAATACAGCTATACTGGAAAGCAGGCAAATTCTTCTAAAACTAAAAACGTATCTACCATACAACTTAGCAATTTTTACCCTTAGGCATTTATGCCAGAGAAATGAAAACCTATGATCATGTAAAACCTGTATACAAATGTTAATAGCAACATTATTATTCAAAAACTGATCATAAATGCCCCTCCATGGGTGAAAAGTTAAACTATACTACCTCCTTATGACAAATGAAAAAAAAGAGACTGAGAGACTCCATATTTTAAAGATGTTACTTCTCTTCCAAATTCATCTATAGAGTTGATGCAACTTTAATAAAAATTCCAGGTTTTTTGTAGGAATTCAGAAGGTTATCCTAAACTTGGAAATGCAAATGGCTTAAAATAGTCAAAGCAATTTTTAAGAAGAAAAATTTGTAGGATTAATGCTACCTGATTCTCAGACTTATTATTAAGCTACACTAACTAGCAGAGTGTAGTGTTGAGATCTACAGATCAATAAAAGAAAATGTAAAAATCCAAAACCAGGTCACACATTTTGGACAAAGATGCCAAGGCAATTCAATGTGGAAATAAATGTTTTTAAAACAAATGTTGCAGGAGTAATTGAATCTGTATTTAAAAAATAATCAACTCTTACATCATACCATACACAAAAATTAACTTGAAGTGACCAATGACCTAAATATATAAGCTACAGTTAAAAAACTTCTAAAAGAAAACATAGAAGAAAATCTTCATACTTCTAATAGGCAAAGTTAGATAGAACACAGAATATGAAACAGAAAACCAAAAACTGGTCAACCAGACTTTACCAAAATTAAAAATTTCTGCCTTTCAAAACTCCACTAACAAAAAAAAGGCCAGCCATAGAACAGAAGACAATATTCACAATACATGTCTGACAAAGGAATTGTACCCAGAATACATAAAGAACTCCTATAATTCAATAAGAAAACAAAACAGTTTAAAATAGGAAAATATGTGAATAGATGCTTTATGAAAGAAAATATGCAAATGTCCAATACACATAGATAATGTTTAACATCACTTATTATAAGGAAGAGGCAAATTGAAACCACAATAAGATACCACTATATACTCATTAGCATAGTTAAAATTAAAACAACAGACAAAACTAAGTGTTTACCAGGATGTACAACAGCTGGTGCACTCATGCATAATGGGTAGGAATGTAAAAATGTTCCCACTTTTGAAATCTATTTTCTTAAAAAGTTAAACATATGCTCCAATAGAGCCATTCCAAGAGAAACGAAAATATATGTCCACACAAAAACTTGTAAACACATGTTCATAGCAGCTTTGTTAATAATCAAAAACTAGAAACAACCCAAGCGTCCAACAACTACACATTACAAGATATTCATACAATGGAATACAACAACTCAGCAATAAAAAACAATAAACTGGTATGTGCAACCTGGATGAATTCCAAAATTATTATGCTGAATGAAAGAAGACACAAAAGTGTACATACTGTGTGATTCCATTTATATAAAATTCTCAGAAATGCAAAGGAACTCAGTGACCTAAAACTGATGGGTCACTGTGTAGGGCTAAAGGTGAAGATAGGAATAAACTGTAAAGGGCATGACATAAAATTTCTGTATCTTGTTGATCTATTATACATCCATCAATACTGTCAAATTTTAGGCTTTAAAAGATGCAGTTCATTTTATGTAAATTATACTTCAATAAATCTGGTTGGGGTTTTTGTTGTTTTTGTTTATTTTAATGACACTCCTTTGAGAGAGTCTGAATATAGAAACACATATGGTGACTGCCTTCACGGAGTTCATTATCATTTCCCTGAATGTCATGCTTTTTCACACTTAGAGGCTGGTGGATTTGCACTGATCCTTTTGCTCTTATTTTGTCCAGTTTGTGTTACTTATATTTGCAAGTGGGACAAAGGTTTAATTTGTGGCAGTCTGAAACTTTAATCTCTCCTCCTTTAAATCTGAGTTTACAACCATCTAAGTCTTCCTGACAGAATGTGACCTTCAAATAAAATTGCTAATTAAACCCAGGCATAAGGAAGAACTAACATTCAGTTGCAGTCTAAAGTTACATGAAGTTGAAACATCTCTTAATAAAGCAACCAGATACTTTTTCTGTAGATTAAGGTAGAGAAGAAAGACCCACTCCTGCAACATTCAAATACATTTTACACTGAGTGGTTTAAAGGGACATTTAAACTACCATAAATTAATGAGATCATATAATTTCACATGAGTACCCATATGAATATAACCAGTTGTAATACACTTCTCACTCTGCAATATTTTCAACATTTTTAAGACCAAACATCAAAACAAACTTACCGAAGAAATGATTTAATATTTTCAGCTTTCATCTCAGATATAAGTTTCCACCGTATACTTTGATGATAGGGTGGTGAAGTGGTCGTTTCTTCGAAAGGCTTAACAAACCAGCCTAGGGGAGAGAATACATATACCTATACTTACCATATACGTATATAATTGCTTTTGACTTTTACAAAAATTAGAAGCCAAAAAAAAAGAGTCCTTACTTCAGAAATAGCTCAAAGTGAGCTTTATAAAAATGTTCATATTAAATGCAGAAGTCCTTCAAATTCTGCTATGCAGTGTAATTTTGAGTTGGTTAAAACTAGTTTTAGGAGATATTCTTTTCATTTTCCTACATGTTACACATCAAGGCATGGGCCTCTATCTTTCTTGTTCTTCTTGGGGTGATCTAGTTCGTAGCACAGCGCCTGACACACAAGAAACATTCCACAAATATTTATTTAGTAAATGATGAAGGAAGGGCAGTTTTTGCAGTGCTGTCCATATTAGTTGCTAGTTTTGACAAATGAAACCACCTTTTTCATGCCTGTGGAGAATGGCAGCTCTGACCTAACAGCTCTTGACAAGTATCTTGAGCTCACTGAACCTTTAATAAATCTGAATTTCAGTCACACTTCATTAAGAAGGTCAAAAGGCATTCCATTCGGTTTCCAGTTGGGCTGAAATTCACGGAACTGACCACACGCAGGGAGCTCAGGGAGCCCGCACAGCCTCCAGGCTTGTTTTCTCTCACTTCTCCCCAGCCTGGCAGGGAGAAGCACCAGCCCTGCACTGGGGAGAAGGGGTTCATACTTACCCACCATAAATCCTGCCAGGAAAGATGCCAGCGCGGCAGCCAAGTACATCCAAAAGTAGAGACGGCCCCTGGACTTCGCCATGGCTCCCTGGGGACGAAGCTTGGGGCTCCGGAAAGAGCCACCCTCTAGCCTGCAGACCAACAGAGAGCACGCCAGGGGAGGCGGTGAACCCTGGCCCACCCTCAGGTTTCCTACAAAGCCGGGCTGCCACCCCCGCCCTCCAAACCCACCGCAAACAACTCCCACCGCCTCTGGTTCTCAGTGGGCCTTAAGGGGGAAAAGGAAATCCGGCAAGGGGAGGAGACAGAGCCTTCCTGTTGGCCGGCAACTCCCATAATGTTGATTCTGCAGTAACCAGGACAGTCCGCTGTGGGGAATGGGGAGGGGGTGGCTAAGGAAAAATGTCCCTAATGGTTTCCTAAAGAACTCAACTGTTAACCTTAAAAATAAAACTATGTTGTTTTACCGACAAAAATGGATCAAGAATAGCAGAAAATTATAATTCCAAACATGCACGCTCCAGCAGAACCACAGGCAAGGGTGAGAACAAAGGAGAGGGTTGGTCCTTCATAGCTGAAAGCTGGGGGTATTTGCTAAGACTGTTGTAAACATAAAGTCCATTGGAGTGAACTAAAGTATAGTGGCTTTTCATTAGCTGAGTTATGACAGTCTCTCTTTGGCTGAGCTGTTGCTGGGTGGGGGGAGAAAACCTTTCTTCCTCCTGCTGGGGAGTAAAGCGGTACCTACTTGCAAGGTATATCTCTTCCTGTTGGCATCTGCAATTGGTGGTGAGTAGTAGGATGAGAGAACTTCCTTCTTCCGGCTTCCCCACTCCATTTTAGTGAAGTTTACCTTTATTAATATTTACATTTCCTCCCTTTGATCAAGACATTTCCTCAAAAGCATCACTGATCAAAAGTCAGGTTTTCCATATTTTGTGGTTTTGTCCCTTTTGTCCAGGAAGGACCTTTCCTAGTTGTCATGTCCCATGTTCCACTTAAGGCCACATTACAGTAACAGGGAAGGTTTGGAGAGAGGTTTGGAGAGAGAACCACCAGGTTCTCCTTTCTGAGCATCACCTTTCTGAGTACATTGTTTTCACAAAAGTTTGACACGGAACAAAATACAACACTTGAAATAATTATACAAAGCATGACAATTTCAAATTGTGGTAGAATAGAGGTCAACTGGTACCCTAGGTCATAAAGTAGCCAACTAACATGTTTATTGGCACTTATTCCAACAAAGGGGAGAAAGGTTCTCCTTATGAAAACAAGCCTGCAGTCATGTATGTTTCCTGGAAGTCTCCCCTTAAAGCAACCATGAAAGATGAGCAACATCACATAGAAAGAATTAGCGGAGTACATCTGGGAAGATACAGTACAGTTATAAACATGAAGCAGTAGCTGATGAACTTGTTGCAAAACAGCAACACTTCAAAGATGGTTTAAAATGGTATTATCTCAAAAGAACGGCTTGGAAGCAAATGTGTTAATATCAATGAAAAGTTGTAAATTTAGAAACCATGAATTTAGGTAAGACTCAGGAGTCAGGTCGTAGTTCAGATGAAAGACTTCTATGAATTCTGACCTTCTCACCCTTCAGAGAAATCTCACAGGATCATGCGAAGGTTGTTTCCAAAAGGCCATAGTCAAAAGAAGATGTTTCCCCCTTTTGCAAGAGTTTGGGAAATATAGAGCATTTTCTTTCCATAAAAGAGAAAGCACCAGTGAACAGGGAGAAAAAGGGATACAGTCCTGGTCCAGACATCGTGGGAAAGTGGTCTCATTAGATGTCATCTGCTTCAGTTCCAGGAAATCTTCACTTTGAGGTCACCAGCTGGTGTGCGGACCCAGTCAGGGTTTCCAGCTTTCTTTAATGTGTCACGTGAACCCAAGAATCTATTCCTTGAGGTTGGTGGCCCAAGGGTTGGTTAGCAGTTCCTGATAAGGGCCTTCCAGTGAGGTTGAGTCTCTCTGGAAGTGTCTATTCCAACAGATGAAATCTCCAGGTTGCAGAGTACTTGAAGTCTGTCTCCCATGTACTTGAGTACATGGTGAAAAGATTGCTCTACCAAAGCACGGTTATTTTCAGTAGAAGCATCTAGGTCTTTACAATGTTAAAGTAGATCCCCTTCTATCAACTCCAAGTCAGAGAAGGGAGGGGCCAAGCGCTTAGGACATTCTGTGACCATCTCAAAGGATGAGAGTCCAGGAATCCCAAAGAGAGTGGATCTAAAATTTAGAAGACCAACAGCAATGCTTTCAGCTAAGGTATTTGGAGGGTCTGTACAAATTTTGTCAGTGCTGTTAGTGCAACTAACTATCTCTGAAGATTGAAAATGGTATGCACAATGAAAGTTGTACAACTGGCCAAACAGAACACACTTGTTGAAACACCTGCCTGGTAAAATGAGTTCCCCAAGCCCTATGAAGTTCAAGAGGGGTTCCCCAGGGAGGGATAATCTTTTCTGTTTGACTCTTTTTTGGGGGATTTTATTTATTTATTTGAGAGAGACAGAGAGAGCACAAGCAGGGGAGGGGTAGCGGAGAGGGAGAAGCAGGCTCCCCTCTAAGCAGGGAGAGTGACATGGAGCTCAATCCCAGGACCCTGGGATCATGACCTGAGCCAAAGGCAGACGCTTAACGACTGAGCCACCCAGGCGCCCCAGGGATCTTTTCTAGCAGAATTTAAGCCACAGAATAAGCATTGGTCTGTCTACAAGGAGAAAACTTTGGTCCAGTGAGAAAACAAACCATAATAATTAAAACATACTTATTTCCATGAGACAGGGTAGCTATATGAAGTCCATTTGTGTGAACAGGCTTTTCTGGATACTTTGGACAGGTGGGACAAGAAAGGTAGGCACTTTTTGCAGCCTTTATATTTCCCCACCTACATTCCCAAAGATTATTATTTTGTCATAGGTCAATGGCTTAATGATGGTAAAATAGTAAACAATGATTGGATAACTCTTGTCATTTTTTCCAATTCATCATTTGAGAGAACATCCCTTTCAGCCATGACAGGTTTGGGTCTTGGTTTCCTTGAGAACAGCGTTTTGTTGGAAATATCAGTGAGGTGGTTTCCTTTAGACGCTAGGAGTTGAGTCTGGAAGGCCCAGGAAGCTTAGTAATAGCCAGACCTGCCTGCAAAAAGTATGGCATCTAATAAATGTGGGACATTGGAGCCATTTTTTATTTTATTCCCATTGTAGGTAAAGAAACTTCATTGTTTCTGTAACACTTCTAAAGTCATGAGCTACTCCAAAGGCAAACCGACTACTGATATAAATGTTTGTACATTTGGCTAAGGTACAAGCCCAAGTATGGAATATAACTAAACCTGCTAGGCCAAAATAGCCACAGGTAAAGGTATGGACTCAATGACTTCCAAAGGAGTTGTGATAGCATACCCAACACAATAGTTACCATTTTCATCTTTTAAATAAGAACCATTATTAAACCATGAAAAATCTGCATTGCTTAGAGGAGTTTCCTACAAATTGTCAAAGGGAGTCAAAAGTTATCTGTCAGCATTAAGCAGTCATGAGGGATTTCATCCATGAAGGAGAGGATAATAGCAGAGCTAAGGTTACTGCAGCAAGAAGAGTTATATGAGGAGCAGTCAGCAGCAGGATGTCCTAGGAGGCAAGGCAACTGACTTAAGTGTAATGAAAATTGGGGGGGGGGGGGCTTCTGCTACATGGGACACAGGATGGTTAAAGAGGATCCTGTGATTATTTCTCCAGAGTGGCTTCGACCAAAAGGGCAGTAGCAGGAATGACTCTAAGGAAAGGGGGTTATCCCCATGCTAAACAGTCCAATTGTTGGTTATAATGCCCTATTGGTTGATGATGTTCCCGTTTTTAGGTGAGTACTCCAAGGGCATTCCCTTCCCCCTCACACACAATGAGGAAAAGGGGAAGTTGATAATTAGGATGTCTGAGGACAAAGAGTTTTATTAGGTTTTTCTTTAAGGTCCCCAAATCTATGTCATCGCGATCTTTCCAAATAGTCATTTTTAAATAAAACATGTGGGAGTTGAGCCTTAAGAGAGAAGTTTGGAATTCAATTTCAACAGTAGATAGCCAGTCCAAGAAAACTTCATAAATGGCACTTAGTTTTAGGTTTTGGGAAGTTCAGGATGCCATGAAGCCTACCTGGATCCAAATGTAGTTCTTGTTCTGAGATCAGATACTCTAAGTATCAAACCTGAGTTTGAGCAAACTGCATTTTTTCTTTGGAATCTTTCTGCCCCTTTAAGGCCAGAAGTTTTAACAGGCAGATGCAGTCTTCCTGTGAAGAGGTTTGAGAAGGGGAGCAGAAAAGCAAATTATCTATGTACTATAACAAATAGAGCCTGCAGGAAGCTTTCTATCACCCAAATAGCTTTTGAGTTTTGTGAAAGGAAAAAACTGGGTGTAACCCTGGGGCATTACTGTCCAGGTGCATTTCCACTCTTCCCAAATGAAAGCAAAAAGATATTGGCTATCCTTATTAACAGGAATACTAAAAAAATATACTGCAATTAGAGTGAAAAGTTTGCTTTCAGTGGGAATGGGTATCAGTAGGGTATGGGGGTTAGGAATAACAGGGTGCCAAGGTATAAAATGTTATTTATTGTTCAGAGGTCCTGGACAAACCCCCATCCTCTGCCATTGGGTGCTCTCACAAGTAAAATAGGGGTATTATAGGGACTAGTGCAGGGGATATGAGCCTTGCAATCTCATATTATGGGACTGATGCCTTAGAGGGCTTCTTTATATATAGGTTAATTTATTAATTAAAGTTGATTAGTAAAGCTTTATTAATTCTGAGGAGAAGTTCTAATGGATTTGAATCTTGATGGGAAATGCACTGTAAATTCTGCAATATAATTTGAAGAGTTTACCCATAAAGAGGATGGTAGCTGATCCAATAAGAACAAATGATTACTGTCTCCAGACTCAGCTATAGTGATATCAGAAACAAGAGCAAATAAGAGCTATCAAAGAGTTATTTAATTTCCCTGGTTGACTATTTAGGTTACTACTATCAAATTCCAGAATTATTTCCTCCTTTTGGGAGGAAAATTCCAGTATGAGTATTTTCTAAGAAATCTTGGCCCAATAAATGAATACGGGTGGAGGAACTAAGCAGAAGGATGTGTATCTCACAAAGGGCCTAGATAAAAGAGAGACAGACAGACAGATAGGAACCTGTTGAGGTTTATTAAAGACCCTCACTATTTGAACTGTTTTAGTACTCTGAGACAGGAGCT